TTTCCTAATAAAAGTGGCTTTTTATACAGGGTGGGGCAAATAAACAGTTTATTCTTGTATTATTATTTATTAATCATTGCATTATTTTCCATACGAACTATTGTAAGCCTACTTTTGCCCCACCCTGTATATTATATTGATTACAATAAGAAACTTTTTTTTCCGTACTATCACTTTCAAGTTTTAGGGGACTCCTGGAATAATTACAGTATAGTCAAGAGTCAATTAAGAGCAGGCCAAGAACCACCTGATTAAATACGAATTTCTATCCTCTTACTGTAATAAACAACAGAATTCTAGGACTGAAGAAAAATCATGAAAGCAGAGTTTAGGAAGGGACACAAAAACAAACGGTAAGAAATCAGAGAGATAGATCCTAGAAGCAAGAAGTTGGGATGGTCCTGGCTGGTGTGGCTCAGTTGAGAGTTGTCCCATGCACAGAGGGGTCACCGGTTCAATTCCCGGCCAGGACACATGCCCGGATGCAGACTCAATACCCAGTAGGGGGCACGTAGGAGGCAGCCACAGTGATGGTTCTATCCCTCTCCCTTCTTCTCTCTCTAAAAACCAATAAAATCATATTTAAAAAAGAAAAAAAGCTCAGTTCTGCTTCCATATATCCACAATTCTGCATGGGATTAAAAAAAAAAGTTGGGATGAACTGTATGACTTTTGTCATATGTCTGAGCTTCATTTCCATAGTTATTTCCATAACGATATTTTTAGTTTACTAGGTATGAGTCAATAGGTTAATAGATACTAAACAAGAAAAGAATCCAATAGACTATTTTTAATGTTAAATATTTTCAAGAAATCCTTTCCAATAAGATATCTTCACACATTTCATCATGTAAGAGTTAATGGCCTAACTACCTTACTAACACAGATCCTAGGAAAAGAAATAAATCAGGCCTAATGGCAATTCAGAAATATTCCATGAAGTCAGTAAGACACTGCTACTACTTTTAGGATTTCCATTTGTGAACTATAAAGCATAATTATGCATTATACCATATCAAATAGGTTGACGGTAGTAAAAAAAAAAAAAAAAAAAGTTTAGTTTCCCCTAACTCACTGTAATGTTTCATATTTTCTTTTTAAAATTTTCTAATCTTAAATGTTTAATTCATACCAGACTGCATCATATTGGTGTTTAGTTCTCATGTAACCAGTTACTTTGATCCATCATAATCTAACTCACACTATTAAAAGCATTTAAATTTTTTAATCTACTTTTATTACTTGATTTTTCCAATTTGCTTGTTTTTCCTGTTTTATCTGATTTTCTACCATCTTATCTTACACCCCTATATTTCTAGGATGACCTCTTAGTTAATCTTATTTGTATACTTCCACTTAGTTGAATTTTTATTTCAGTTTTTATATGGCAAACAATATATGCCATAATCAATATTTTTCAATACTGAAAGTGTAAGAAATGGTACCTTTCTCTCTGTAATTGAACTTTTTGTCTAGGTACTCTAAAGAGGAATCCTAGTCTTCAAATCTGAACATCCTAACTGTAAATCATCTTTTTATTTTTAATATATACAAACTATCTTCTTTAACAGTAGGGAAAATGCAAAAATAGAATCAAAAAGTAGAAACTTCTAGCATATACTTTTGTCCAAGATACTTTTTGCCAGTTATTTTTAACATAATTGCAAAAGTATGTTTTTTATTTACTTATTTTATTAAAAGTTTCATGTGTAATTATGGGGTCATCAGAAACATTTTAATGGCTATGTATGATTGCATTAAATAGCTAGGCCCTTCCTTTTCCCACTGTCAGGCAATCACCACATTAAATTTAAAAAGCAGTATGGTAACCTAGTTAACTAGACTTATTGTGGTGATCATTTCCCAATATGTTCAAATATCTAATCATCGCAGTGTCCATCTTAAACTAATACAATGTTATATGCCAACTATATCTCAATTTTAAAAAATTAATTTCCTATCTTAAAAAAAAAAAAAAGGTAGTAACAAGAAGGAGCAGCATTGATATGCAGGATAAATGCAAACTTAATTAAATGGTAAAGACATTTTAAGTCTAAATCTATTTTTAAAGCTTAATACTCAATTGCAGGTTTTCCAACCTTATTTTCCTAAAGAAAGGACTTAAATTTGGAAAAAGTATGCACTATATAGATGGCTGTTGTTTAAAAATTTAGCCAACATTTATTGAGCTCTTACTATATGCTATGTTAAAGGCTTTACATGAATTTGCCTCAACAACAACCTATAAAGAAGATACTATTGTTGTCCCCATTTAAAGATGAGAAAATTGAAGCACAAAAAGATAAATAAAATGACTAAGCCAAAGGCATACACAAATGTTGGAACAAGGATTTGAACCCAAATCTGACTACATGGCCTATAATTTCTTTTTTTTTTAAATATATTTTTATTGATTTCACAGAGAGGACAGGAGAGGGGGAGAGAGAGAGAGAAACATCAATGATGAGAGGGTCACTGATTGGCTGCAGCCCACAACTCGGGCATGTGCCCTGACCGGGAATCGAACCCCGATCGCCTGGATCATAGGTCAATGCTCAACCGCTGAGCCACGCCTGGCCAGGCATGGCCTATAATTTCAACACAGATTAGAAATTACACTATACACTAGAAGCAGTAGCTTCCTGCTCTATTATATCTTGAAAAGGGAGGAGGGAAGACACAGAGACTTTGTTAAAATAAATTAGAAACACATTTCCTGGAATAAAAGAGAATATTTTTTAAATTAATATAAGAAATGTCACTATAACACAGAAGTGTTTGTGTATAAAATGATATGATGTCTGGGATTTGTTTTAAAATAATACAGCTTGGGGAAGGGTAGAGGATAACAGGAACAAGATTAGACATCAATTACTAACTGTTAAAGCTTAGTGATGGGTATATGGACTTTCATTATTTTTTTTAATATGTTTTTATTGATTTCAGAGAGAGAAAGGGAGAAGGAGAGAGAGAGAGAAACATTAATGATGACAGAGAGTCACTGATCAGCTGCCTCCTGCATGCCCCCCGTACTGGCAACTGAGCCCACAACCTGGGTATGTGCCCTGACCCGGGTATGTGCTGCGATCTCCCGGATGGGTGGATGTTCAGTATTTTATTACCTCTACTTTTGTGTATTCTTTAAAATGTCCATTTAAAGGTTAAAAGTAGACATTGGTTACACAGATTAAAGACTTTCATACAGAAGCGAACATCTTTCTTATGATACCCTGTATCATACATATAAGAGGACATGACATACTTGATAGTTATACATTTTAAATATCATCTTATACATTTTATATATCATCTGTAAAAGGGTGGTCTTACTTTAAATATCTATGTATCCTCTCACAACCAAAACCTAAAATTAATGAAAGTAATTTAGGCACAAACACATAAATATACATAATAAATGGTTGTCTGCATTTCTATCAACTTGTTAAAAATATTTGCTTAAATAATTAAC